CAACTTGTAAAGAAATCCCGGTCGATTGTTTTTGGTGATTTCAATGTTGATTTATTGAAGAACAATGCCAAGACCAAGTTGTATCGTGATACCTTGGAAGAGTCTGGATATGCTTTTGTAAGCCACGTTGACGATCGCTATTGTACACGTGAGACTGCTTCCACGAAGACTATCCTTGATCATATATGCACCAACCTCAAGGACAAAACCTTTCACCTGGCAATTGTAGAATCTCCACTATCTGACCATAAGCAGATACATCTGAGTATGAAGAAATATAAACCATTACCAAGAGAACGAGTTAAATACATGGCTATTGATTATCAAAAACTATTTAATAGCGTTAAAGCTACAGAATACCATCCAGACGAGAACAGCTACGCAAACTTTGAGAGATATTTAAAAAATGCCATCAAGAACAGTACAGCTGAGAAAATCAAAATTTCGAACCCCCCACGACAGGATTGGATCTGCAAAGAAATTCTAGATAAAATCATGATAAGAAACAAAATCTGGCGTAAACTAAAACAGGACCCTAATAATGAAGATTTGCTTAAAACTTTCAGAACAGAACGAAAAGTTACTAGTCAAATGATCAGGAACACTAAGCAGAAATATTACCATGAACAGTTTAAGAAATGTACAACAGATCCTAAAAAGATGTATAACTTGATTAATACTTTGTCTAATAATAGAACCAAGTCAGAACGCACTCCCCCTAAATTGCTGACAGAGAGCGGTACTTTAACGAATGGTAATATGATCTGTAATGAATTTAATTGCTTCTTTTCTACGATTGGCTCCAACCTTGCAAACCGTATACTTACACAAAAACAACACGATATCATAATACCACTAGACACCCGAACATGCAACACAACATTTACTACTTTCACCCCTTGCCGATCTCGCGAATTGTCCAAAATAATTAAAAGCCTTAAACTAAACTGTAGTACCGGGATCGATGGTATAACAACTAAATCTATTAACTGTATAAGCGAACTGATACTAGACAAACTGACAGACTGCATAAATAGCCATCTGGCTTCAGGAATATTTCCCGATGAATTAAAAATAGCTAAAGTCACTCCGATACACAAAGCTGGTGCGAAAACTGATCCTAATAACTATAGGCCTATCTCAGTACTACCGATAATTTCGAAAATATTCGAAAAGATACTTCTTGCGCGCCTAGAGGAGTATATGACTTCAATAAACTTCCTTTTTGAACGTCAGTATGGCTTTCGACCACAGTCTAACACCTTATCGGCTACAATAGACCTCACGACCAAAATACAAATGAACATCGATAAAAAAAATATGGCGCTTGGCTTATTTATTGACTTCAAAAAGGCTTTTGACACCGTAAGTCACAAAATTCTTCTACAAAAGCTTAAAAACATGGGCGTGTCAGGTGTGGCTTATGGAATGCTTGAATCATATCTATCTAATAGGCGACAGATAGTTAAAATAGGCGAATGCCAGAGTAAACCACAAAATATCACGTTTGGAGTTCCTCAAGGTTCCCTGCTAGGCCCACTATTTTTCCTAATCTACGTGAACTCCATTCACAAACTCCCACTACATGGTCAAATGTCTTTGTACGCAGATGACACGTGCCTCTTCTATTTTGGAAATTCCATACCTGAAATGATAAATCAAGCTCAACAAGATCTAAATTTATTACTAATCTGGTGCCAACAAAATCTTCTCACAATTAATGCATCCAAAACATGCTACGTTATATTTCATGCCAAAAATAAAAAAGTTCCACCTCACACCCCCCTTAAAATCAATAATGAAATACTCGAGCTTAAACAACATGAAAGATACCTCGGCCTGCGACTGGATTGCCAACTAAATTGGAACAGTCACATTGAAAACATTAAATCTAAACTAACATCACTCTTGGGTTCACTACGTAATATTGTTCATTGCCTACCTTTCAATGTCCGCCAGCTTATATACAATTCACTAATAAAGCCACACATTCTGTACTTAGTTGAAATATGGGGGAATGCAGCCAAAACAAATCTAAAGGACTTACAAATTGCACAAAACAAAATTATTAAAATGCTGTTTCATTATGACTATCTGTCACCTACAACCAAAATATACAAAGACACGAAACTTATGAGTATCAAACAACTGTACACATTTTGCACCTGTATACTTATACAAAAAATACTTACTAAATCCATACATTCACAGATATCTTTTACTAAAATACATGAAGTTAGTAACCGTAGCAGTCGTAGAAAAGACCACATTTTAGTTCCTCAAGTACGTACTTCTCTAGGCAAGAGAACATTGTTATACGAGGGAGTGCAACTTTTTAATAAATTACCCAAAGACATAAGGAATGCGAACTCGTTTAGTACTTTTAAAAGAAAACTCAAGCAACATGTGCTCGAAAATATCTCGCCCACCTAAAACAATTTTTAATTACCTATAATATTGTTACTATTATTAATTACCTATAATATGAACTCAGTGCAAACATATTATCTACTTAAAATAAACAAAAAAAAAAAAGAAAATTAAAATTAACACCACTATTACGATCGTGTGAAATGAAACAGTACTACTGTGCTTTAACCTGTATTGTGACCACGAGTCCGCATTTTGCAAACCTATGCGAGGGTACACTTATATCTCTGTCTCTAGTCGTGTAAAATTTGAATACCCACACCGATTGATTACTATAAAAAGTATAATGTAACCGTTCAGTGTCAATTACTTAACGAAAATGATGTAATATACAAATGTTTGAGTGATGAAGTATAATATATTAGTGTATTAAGTGAAAGAAATGTTCTCATGTAAGTGAAATGTAAATTTCTTTTTGAGAAAAATAAATTCTTTACCCACAAACCGTTTTTTGAACGTTTCTTTCTGCGTTTTAACTATTTGGACTTGTGTGGTCAAATTTCTGCATTTTTTAAATAATAGTTTAATTTTTTTCCTAAATGTTATTACAGTCGCATCATTTGAAGGGTTTGTAGGAGAATTATTCACATTTTTTGTTCCTTTTTGTTCATTTTTTTTTCTTTTTAATGCTTCTTCTTTTATCATCTCTCCACTTTTTCCGTTGATCTTCGGCATCTTTGGCAGTCATCTCTGATATTTTCTTTTTCTTAGTATTCATTCGTTGTAAATTTCTATTGCATTAAGCTTTAATTTCTCTCTATAGCGCCTAGTTTTTTCAGCTCCTGTAAGAGGCATCTTGCCACACCTAAAATATGATTGTTTAAATGAGCCCACAAATTAGTTGATTTTAAAATAATAGTCAGCCTGTAGAATTTATAACAGAAATAATACAAACAATGAAACGAAAATTAAAATATATATTTATATTTAATTATATTGTAACATATTATTGTTTTTATAATAAATATTGTTGAATTAAATAAGCTTTTAAAAAGTTTAACCAGGTGACAGCATTGTCTATGACTCTCCACATTACTATTATTGTACATCGTGTTCTTGCTGTGCAGTTGAAAAATAAAAGTTTTCATATTCAATTAATTACCATCTTTTAATTGATCAAAACACCCATAACCCTTTAGGTTATGGGCCCAGGTAGACTCTGTAATTGAAATCTCAAAGAAAACAGTAAAAGAAAAGTTACAATCGTTGTTAGAACAAATTGACAAGATAACCTAAAAATGGATTCCCGCGACAATGAATTTAGACAAATTCGATGAACAGAACTTCAGGCAATGGAAATTTCAGATAAAGTGTGCACTAAAAGCAAAAGTGATCGACATTTCAGTGCCTAGATCATCTGTAAACAGTGTTGAGTGGACGAAAAATGACGGCATGGCAATGTATATTATGACCTTGTTGAGATATGTATTATGTAGGTAGATATATCTACAGGTTTGCATTTTGTTATGATTATTTCTCACAAACAGTTGCAATACAGACCTTGTGAACTACACCCGCATTTTATTTATACGCTAACTAAAAGGCATATTAAACAGACAAGAATCAACCTTATTCTCAATACAACATGGTCCATTCCGAGCCGCATACAATTTAAAAGAACTAGTTGATCGAAGATAAGCTATCGTCGCCGAGAAGTTTTTTCTATAAGAAGTTAGTTGGCGAATACAATAGACGACCGGCCGCTGTTATACAAATTGCAGTTATATGGTGTATTGTGCATTCCTGTGGTTACAATAACGAAGTGAACGTTTTAAACACATAATATCAACTTTCATTATGGAGTCCGTTGAACAACAATTGGAACTTTTAGAACATTTGTCGAATAGTATCGTAAAAACCAAAACAAACTTTAAAAAGTCACCTAAGTCAAGAATTACAATAGGTTATACAGAAGCGAGACTACAATGCTTAGAAGACTATTGGAATTCGTATCAAAATAGTTTTCAAAGTTTATTGAAGAATACTAAGAAAGAACAAAGGAAAACAATTGACTATTTTACGCAAGATTTATAGATAGACAGTCAGTGTGAAGAAACTTATATAGATTTAAAAGCAGATATTAAAGACACGCTTCGATTATTAAAGATAAATGTGGAGACGGTAGGAAATTCAGCACAAATTGCAGCATCATATACACAGAAGGAAAGTTCGAGCAGCGCAGAGGTCAGAGAATCAAAAGCTTCCGAGAATCAATCTAACTACATTTTCGGGGACTTATGAGGAGTGGCAATCATTTGAAGATACATTTACGGCGTTAATATCGAACAACAAATTATTGAGTAATGTACAGAGATTTCATTATTTGAAATCGTGTTTATCTGGCGAGGCAAAAAACACTATTAAGCATATTCAAGCGACAGAACAGAATCATGAAAAAAAATTGGGAGACTTTAAAAAATAGATATAGCCAGCCAATAGATATACAAGCGGCTTATAGTAAACGCGATATTAAAAAGGTTATTTATATTTAAAAAGGTTAACACTCAATCACCAGGTCATTTAAATACACTGATTGATACTACTAAGGAGTGTTTGAATAGTTTGAATCTATGAATATTTCAACATCTACTTGGGACCCTATGATCATTTACATTACTGTGCAAAAATTGGATTATGACACGCATAAAGATTGGGAATCCCATGTGAGTCGTGAGTATCAAACTGAACTACCTACCTTACAAAATATGATTACCTTCTTGGATAGTAGAATACACACATTAGAGTTAACCTGTTCGCCTTCTTCAAGCTCTCAAATTCATTTAAGATTATAGAACGTTCGTATCATTCGTCAGCCGTAAATATTATGTGTAAATTATGTAAAGGCCAGCATCTCCTCTGTCACTGTAAAGAATTTGTGAAACTTGATCCAGAGAAGAAAAGTGAAGTCGTCAAGAGCAATCGATTATGCTACAACTGCTTGTCACCAGGCCATCCAGTGCATTATTGTAAGCAGAAGACTTCTTGTAAGATATTCACTTCTTCATCATAGTAAGAAGAGAGAAGATTTTCAGGATACAGAGAAGAATGCAACAACACCTGAAATCTCAATGAACACGCTTAATGAACAACAAGAAAATCTTCTGGATGAGTCTATCATAGTGAACTTCGCACACAAGCAGAGAAGAGCGTTATTAGCAACAGCGTTGGTTCCGGTCCGGAGTAAGTGTGGCCGGGAGGCTACGGTAAGGGCACTAATCGATCCTGGCTCACAAGCGTCATTTATAAGCGAGAATGCATCTCAACTCATTAGACTAAAGAAAACTCCTGTCCAGTGCTCAATCACAGGAATTGGCAGCACCACAACTCCAGTGCGTTATTTTTTTATTTATTATATCTTTATTGTATACACTAATAGAAAAAAAAAAACAAAACAAAAGATGAGTTACAAATAGGTAAAAGTAACAATCGGCGGTCTTATCGCTCACAGCGATCTCTTCCAGACAACCTTATCATGGATTTTAGGTATTTAACAATTTAGCTTAGTATACATACACGTAACACAATATCACGTGAATATTTAAAAATATTTACAAACATAAACAAACACATTCATACACAAATATACATCTATGGACATTACACATATACAAATACACATACATACATACACATATACCCATACATATTTGGAATATATAATATATTAAATAGGGAATCAGAACAGTATTTATAATGACAGATAAAAATCTTTTAATATTTTTTTTAAAAACAGGCAAAGTTTTAGCTTGTCGGATTGTTTCAGGCAAGTTGTTCCAGAGTCTTACTGCTTGCACAGTGAAAGATTTATCTGCAAACTGGGTGGAATGTTTTGGCATTTTTAGTTTTAAATTCTCCGATGACCTCAGGTCCCTGCAATGTGTGGTGTGTAGGAACTCAAAACGTTTTTTGAGATAAGAGGGTGTGTGAGGATGAAACAGAACACTGTATAAAAGAGAAAGAATATGAAGATTCCGGCGAAGGCGTATTGGTAGCCACTTGAGTTTGGAACGATACTCTGAGATGTGATCATACTTGCGTAAACCAAATATGAATCTAATACAGAGGTTTTGGAGTCGCTCAAGTTTATTCAGTTGGTCTTCGGTGAGATCAAGGTAGCTGACATCGCCATAGTCAAGGATGGGAAGAAGAAGAGATTGTGCGAGCGCAATTTTTATATTGGTAGGAAGGAAATTGCGTAGCCTTCGCAGAGATCCCGCCGCTGCAAATAGTTTGCGACTAACTTCTCCAATCTGAGGACCCCAGGATAGGTACCTATCCATATAGATCCCCAAGTTTTTAACTTTTTCACTATATGGGACAACCGAACCGTTGCAGGATTATGTGGTACAGTTGGAGATATCCTCACAGTATGACACTCAATTCAATCTCCCTCTGAAAGCGTATGTTTTAAAATCACACATAACATCAAAGTTGCCCAGTTCCACAATAAAACCACAATCCGATTGGTCACACTTGGAAGGTCTAACACTAGCAAATCCACAATACTACATGTCAAACAGAATTGATCTATTGCTTGGTATTGATGTATATACTGAAATTATAAAAAACAATTTAATAAAAGGGCCACCAGGCTCACCGTCAGCCCAGGAGACAAGTTTGGGGTGGATTTTGTTTGGCAATATTTCTAAACATGAACACACGAATAAAGAATTAACAGTCATGCATCAACAAATAGATATAGAAATGGATAGTCTATTAAAAAAATTGTGGAGCATAGATGAATCAGCCAAACGTACACTTACCTTTGATGAGCGCGTCTGTGAAGATATTTATAAAACCACACATAGTCGAGATTCAGATGGAAGATATATTGTGAAATTGCCCTTTAAAATAACACCACAAGAAATAGGATCTACTAGAGACATAGCACTGAAGAGATTAGAACAATTAGAAAGACGATTAGAAAATAAACCTAAATTAAGAGAAGAGTATAGTAAGGTTATGGAAGAATACATACAGCTTAATCACATGGAGAAGGTCCCAAAGGAAGAGATGAATAAAGTGTCAATTTATCTACTACATCACGCCGTGGTACGAGATAGTGAAACCACGAAGGTGAGAATTGTCTTTGACGCGTCATGGCAAAGTTCAAAAGGAAATTCACTCAATGATTTACTATTAGTCGGACCTCAATTACAAAAGGATATACGAAACTTAATCATGAGATGGCGCTTAAAGAAGATTTGTTTTATTGCAGATATTCAAAGAATGTACCGTATGATATTAGTCACTAAAGAAGACACTGGTTATCAACGATTATTATGGAGACAGAATCCTACTACAGAAGTTGATGACTATCGTATGCTCAGAGTAACGTTTGGGACAGCCTCAGCACCCTATTTAGCAATCAGGACCCTGCAACAGCTATCGACGGATGAAATGAATAAGTATCCTATTGGGGCTAGAATATTAGCCGAAGAATTCTATGTCGACGATTGTATTAGTTCCCATGATACAGTAGAAGACGCGATAGAGGCTAGTCAAGAGTTAATAAAGATATTTTAGAAAGTGGAGGATTTATATTACAAAAATGGACATCGAATAGCAAAGAGTTTCTAAACACAATTTCACAGTCATTGAAAAGTAAGTGTTGATGCACAAGAGAACTTTATTAAAACTTTGGGTCTTTTTGGAACATGAAAACAGATACATTTCATTATCAAATAAAATTACCACCTAAATCAGCCTTAATAACAAAAAGAATTATTTTAGGAGACATACAACGTTTGTTCGACCCTCTGGGGTGGATATCACCAGCAATCATCACTGCTAAGATTTTAATACAGAATATTTGGAAAGAGAGACTTGGTTGGGATGAAGAGGTTGGAAAATCGACTGAAGTAGAATGGAGTAAAATAAGAGACAGCTTTAAACATTTACATCGAATAAAAATACAAAGATGGATGGGTAAAGAAGTTAATGACGAGATATATCTGCATGGGTATTGTGATGCCTCCATTAAAGCATATTGCGCAGTAGTTTACTATAGATTAAAAAAAGAGAATGGAGAAGTCAGAACAGGAATAATTGCATCACGGACTAAAGTAGCACCAGTTAAAGTAATTTCTCTTCCACGCCTGGAACTATGTGGGGCGGTACTGTTAGCAAGATTACTTACACAAATGGGACTAATCCCACCCACACGCCCACCGCTGTAACTCCTGTACACCAGGATCCACAGCAGTGACCCACGAACACACCGAGTTATGACACTCGGGAAGTCCCAGGAAGAAATTAAACTGTCTTGGAACCCGCAACGAAATTAATCAGAAGAAAATTGGAGGAGTTGGAAATACAGTAAATCCACTTCCCTCCTTAGCAAAGCGGGAGACAAAATGAAGTAAAAAGGGCATACACCCTTTTAAACAGGGAAGCACCACGGCCACAAATATTACGGGTCCTACGTGAGCTATGTTTGATTTCTATAATATGTATGGCAGAATCGCTACGCACGGAAATTCACCCTAGTTGACACAAGATCCCCATAGTATACCGCCCCAGATGTCACCTGCAAGCTGTTCAGCATTATATTACGTTCATTATACCAAAGACTACATTCCCAGAGGATATGATGAGCAGACTGTTCATAGTGAAAGTTAGGTGTTGAGCATTGACACAATGGTGACTCGACTAATTTAAATGAATAAAGCTTGCTCTTAAAGTTACCATGACCCGTAAGAAATTGAGCGACACAGTGATCCACCTCAAGCCATATCCTCGACAACCGTTCGCGAACAGATGGATGATTCATCCCAGCGTTGTTGCCATTCGTCTATGAGGTCGTTATAGACATCGGGCTGCAGTTGAAGCAATCTTGTAATTTTACCGCGATCCCGCGCGCCCAAAAAATCGCATTCCATGTTTTGTTGTCTTGAATAGTACATGGCTGCACGTCTCTGCACCTCGAAATCGACCCGAAGCACACCCGCCAACACCGGCAAAGCCTCAGTGCTAACCGTCCTATATGCCTTGCACAAAAATATCAGACCCTAATAGATGGAAACAATTTGTCAGCAATCGTGTAGTAGAGATTGGACAACGTTCCCTGCTCAAGATGGTATCATGTCAGATCAAAAGACAATCCTGCCGATATAGGTTCTAGAGGTGTCTACGTAGGCAACCTAACAGATGATAAACTATGGTGGGAAGGACCAGAAAGCCTTAAAGAGAAGATTCTAGATTTACAATTAACCCTATGGAGCTAGAAATAAAAAAAAATACCAGTAAATTTTAAGACATTGAAAATGAAATTTGAAGATTTTAGTAAATTACAAGAACTTTTAAAAACTGTTGTTTATAGTTTGAGATTTCTGAGATTTAAAAAATGGTCTACAAAAATTAATATAACAATTACAACACTAGAAGTAGAGGAAGCATTAACAAAATGTATTAACATAGCACAAAGGGAAGAATTTGAAGGTGAATTAGAAAGTTTACAAAGAAATTAAGTTGTTTAAAAACTTTAAATCCCTACCTAGACGAGAAAAATATTATCAGGGTGGGCGGCAGACTGCGCCACGCAAGCCTAAGCAATGATCAAAAGCATCCCATAATATTAGGCATGAACAATGAACTTTCACATCTGATTGTAGCAGAAGCTCATCAGAAGACATTACATGGAGGTATTCAGCTAATGCTTAGTTATATTAAATCAAGATACTGGATTATTTGAGTAAAAAATCTGGTAAAGAAACATATACACAAATGCGTCGTATGTGCACGACACCGAGCAATATCAAAAACGCAAATCATGGGTGACCTTCCCAAAGCTCGTATCACTCCTGCTCGTTCATTTAGCAATAGTGGTGTAGATTTTTCCGGTCCTTTGCAAATACTTACGTCAAAGGGCCGAGGTTCGAAAACTCGCAAGGCTTATATATATAATATAATATATCGCCTTATTCATTTGCATGACCACCAAGGCCATATATCTAGAGTTGGTTGGCGATCTAACCTCAGAAGCATTTATTGGAGCATTTAATCGATTTATTGCACGAAGAGGACGATGCACACATCTATGGGGCGATCATGGTCGTAATTTCGTAGGTGCTAATAAAGAGCTACAAGCAGCTTGGTAAGAAGCTAACTTGAACTTACCTGGTCATCTCGCAGATATTCTTGCATCAGACGGCACACAATGGCATTTTATTCCACCATATAGTCTAAACTTCGGCGGACTGTGGGAGGCCGCCGTGAAGTCCACCAAGTTCCATTTGAAAAGAATCCTAAGTACCAAAATAACGTATGAAGAATTATCGACAATATTGTGCCAAATAGAAGCCTGTTTGAACTCACGCCCGTTGACACCCGTCGATACTGCGGACACCGAATTAGAAATATTAACTCCTGGACATTTCCTCATTGGACAAGCCCCTGTCACTATACAAAACCCAAGTTCAAGAGACGCTCACATTATCTATCTATCGAGGTGGCAGCTTTGTCAGAGGATGGTAGCTAATTTCTGGCAGCGTTGGCAAAATGAGTACCTGACACGTCTACAAACTCGACCAAAATGGATGAAGAAGCAAAAAGAGTACGACATTGGCGACATAGTTCTATTGAAGGAGGATCAATTACCACCGGGAAAGTGGGTCCTGGGTCGCATTATCGCTAAACATCCAGGAGAAGATGGTCTTACCAGAGTTTATAGTATTAAATATAGAAATAGTATCGTCCAAAGATAGATAAAGATTGAAAGTTTTTGTTAAGTTTTAATGTATACTTTAGCACATTTTTTTTATATATTCTGGTTACTATCATGTTATTAATTGAGTATATATTACTAAGTTGAATTTTAGACTATTTTTGTTAATACTTACTCAGAGTACCCAATTAAGAGTATCTTATTGTTCATTAGTTAGTTATTACTATTGTCTACAAGTTAACTAAAGACATTCTAAGTTCAATTATTTTTGTATTCATTTAAATTACTTACTGGCCATTATTGCATGATTTATAGATTTTCATAGTTTTACCTTTAACGTTATTCTTTAGTAAAGGACTATGTCCTTTGGTGGGCGGTATGTTGAGATATGTATTATGTAGGTAGATGTATCTACAGGTTTGCATTTTGTTATGATTATTTCTCACAAACAGTTGCAATACAGACCTTGTGAACTAGACCCGCATTTTATTTATACGCTAACTAAAAGGCATATTAAACAGATAAGAATCAACCTTATTCTCAACACAACAGACCTCTTCGATGGATTACAAACAAATTACCTTGATAGAGAACTTTGAAACTGCCATGGAAATAATGTCAAAACTAGAATCAATATATGAACAGAAGAGTGAACTATGTAAAATGTTAGTTCATGAGAGATTCTATCAATACAAAATGTCTACAAGTGACAGTGTCGCTCAGCACATTTCTAAAGTCGAATCTTTAGCCAAGCAGTTAAAAGAAAGTGGAGAAAACATCAGTGAAATGGCTGTGATAACAAAAATACTTGGAACATTGCCTCCCAAGTATAGATCACTCCGTCAAGCCTGGATGTCATTGGATCCAGCGAATCAGACTCTTGTCAATTTAACTGCTCGTTTATTGGACGAAAAAGCCAGCTTGCAGTGTGAAGACGAGCAGAAAACGGCTCTCCTTGTGGCTAACAAAGGTTGGAAGAATAACCCAAAACAAAACGATCAGAATAAAGGTGCTGGTGGTTCAAATCAAAATAAACCCACCAAACACAGGTTCGAGTGTTATAATTGTGGAAGGCGAGGATAAATAAATAAATAAATAGAGACCGTAGTTTACCGAAGGTGGTGCCCGCGCCGTTGCGGGCAGGCGCTAGGAGGGGTACGGATGTCTTAATAACAGCTGTTCCCGGATCCCTCCTATTACAGGCGCAGAGTGGCACACCGTGTGGTTTTAGTCGGTCCGAGTCCGACACACCACCCCGCCGCAAACCCCGGTGGGGTGACGGTCCGAGGGGATTTCCACACGTAAAAAAAAAAAAAGGTATAATTAAATTGCCGGGGTGCTATGCTAGAAAACCTCCCTGTGGTTCACCCTGGAAACGCTGGCGATGGCACTGTTTCCTCCTTGTTCTCTTGGAGGAGAGTATTATCGCCAGTGGCTAAGATTCTAGCAGAAGAGGAAGCCGTTTATCGGCTCTCGGGCAAGGCCTGGTCCAGCAGGATGGGCGTGTCTGCCGGTTGCCCTGCTGGCTCTTCGCTCTTCGGAGCATGGAGGAGGAAACCTCGGTAATAAACCAGAAGGTGGGGCCCTATAGGGGCCAGTTTCTCCGCTGACAGCGGTGGAGAAAGGAGGACGGGCTCGGCGTGTACTGACACTAGCATCGAGCAGGCAGGGGGACGTAGTCTCCTTGTCACCGTCGGCATATCGTAATCCCGAGAAGAGCGCTGTGGTTAAGTCTGATCGGGGACGAGGGTCTTGGCTTAACCGCCCGGACCGCGAGGAAGAAAACCTTTCTAAAAAATTAACCGAATCCCGTGTTCTGGTGCGTGGCCAGGGGATGCATGGCTGATGGGTAGTTCAGTCGTATGCCTCAAATGTTCTAGAAAGTATTTATGACAAGTCGTCCATTGTAGACCACGAAATCAAATGTTTTGCAACTGAATACTTGTTCTATTCATGTTTAGTATAAAAAAAAAAAACATACATTAAATACTTTATATTTATAAATTGTTTTTCTCATTCCTTATCTCCTAAACCACCACCACCACCACCACCTAGGTTTGCGGTTACAAATACATATAAAATATGCCTTTGTTATAAAGTTTCACCATTCGCAAGTATAAAATACATAGGTAGTTGACATAAACCATGTACAAGTGTCCTTTTTGTAATGTTCTTGTTCATAATAATCAATTGATTGCTCATTCAAGAACGAAACGTCATAAGTTGCTTTGCAAACAAGATGGTGGAGACTATTTCACATATGTTATAAACTCAGCATACTAGTGTAGAATAGTTACATATCGAATCAATGGAACATCAAGTATTTTGGAGCCAAAAATATATCTAAACAAAGTCGCGACTAAGGTACAACGGATACTCAGGCTTGAACTGGAAGCTAACTCAAACATCAAGGTTAACTTGGAACTTTTCTGTCTGATAGTCATTTATTTATTAAAGAACTATCCACTCGGGCAGGTGATACAATCAAATGCATAGCGCAACACAAGGAAAAATATACATCATTCGGAAAAAAAAATTTATGTGCGAGACAGTGACATAACTATGCGGTTCGTAGATTCATTCAAATTTATGGCTACAAGTTTAGATAAACTGGTAAAAAATCTGTGTGTAGAGCAGTTTCAAATACTACCCAAATACTTTCTGAATCATCAACAAATGCATCTTTTAACACGTAAAGGGGTTTTCCCCTACGAATACATCTATTCATGGAGCAGGCTAGAAGAAAAATCATTGCCTAGTAAACAATCATTTTATAGCGAATTAACACAAACATCCATTTCCAACAGTGATTATGCTCTCGCACAAACGGTATGGCAAACATTCAAATTGGACACATTGGGCGAGTATTGCGACTTATATCTCAAAACCGATGTCCTATTGCTAGCTGAAGTTTTTGAAAACTTTCGTAACATTTGCACTGCTGCATACAAACTAGACCCCTGCAGGTACCTCACAGCACCCGGACTCTCGTGGGATGCTATGTTGAGAGAGACTAAAATAAATCTCGAACTTCTCACTGATTATGAAATGCTTCAATTCTTACAATCCTTACAATTCGAGGGGGGATCAGTCAAATTTCCAAAAGACACGCCAAGGCCAATAACAAATTCATGACCTCATTCAACCCCACTGAAGAGAGTAAATCCATTATTTATCTGAATGTTAATAACTTATATGGCTATGCTATGAGTCAATTTATAATTAATCTTACCCCACGCTAATTTTAAATGGATAACTGAGGATGAAATTGCTGCTTTCGATATACTTACCCAAAAATGTGATTCCAATATTGGCTATATTTTGGAAGTGGACTTAGACTATCCACCTTCCCTACATATATCACACAACGATTACCCTTTTTGTGCGGAAACGAAAGCACCACCCAATAGTAAAATTAAAAAACTTTTACTCTCTTTAGACAATAATACAAACTACATCATTCACTATATGAACTTACAACAGTGCATCCAGAACGGATTAATTTGTAAAAAGATCCATAGAATTTTATCTTTCCACCAATCTCCATGGCTCAAGTCTTAC